AACAACAACAACAACAACAACAACAACAACAACAACAACAACAACAAACACGCGCCTCTCTGTGGCGATGGGATTGTCCACCATCGCAAGACTTGTCACAGTCATCCTGCCATGGATATCTGCACATTTGGAAGATTGGCTGTTCAAGGCTTCAGCACAATGTTTCGCACCATGCAGCGCATGCGCGCACGTAAGTTCAGCATAGCCTCAAGTATATGCAGCATCATATGTGCCACGCGCACAAAGGTTTATGAAACAACTGCAAAAAACTGGCGGGCCAAGCCGATTTCATAGCAAACAAGGCCCGTTTTTGCACAACGCTTGCAGGATGCCTAAAGTCACCGGACGCAAACCGTTGCACATGTTTGGTACGAGGAAACCTCCTTTCTTCCTTTAAGCCTTTTGGCTTCACTTTTTGTGTTCAATAAGCACAGTCACGATGTGTGTTGCGGTCGTTCGGATCGTTGCAGTCTGCTCGCATCTTGCCCATTGGGTACGAGGACACCTCTTGCTCCTAACTTCTCTGGGTTAAAATTCAACCCCTTGGGGGGCCACCTGGATCCTGACTTGGGTGAGAGATCAAAAAAATATTTAACATATCAATTAAAATATTCTACACGCATCAATAAAAAATAAATACTGACTCAAAAAAATATTCCAAATAGCAGCAGCAGCAAGAGTAGCAACAGTACTATAATAGCAGCAGTATCGTAGTGGTAGTCGTAGTGTTTCGTGGCAGGCGCAGGACTTTGTGGACCTTGAAGTGCAGATTTCGTGGCAGGTGTAGTACTTTGTGGCCCTTGGAGTGCAGATTTCGTGGCAGGCGCAGGACTTTGTGGACCTTGAAGTGCAAATTTCGTGGCAGGCGCAGGACTTTGTGGCCCTTGGAGCGCAGATTTCGTGGCAGGCGCAGGACTTTGTGGACCTTGAAGTGCAGATTTCGTGGCAGGTGCAGGACTTTGTGAATGTGGAAGTGCAGAGTTGGTGGCCGGCGCAGGACTTTGTGGGCCCTGGAGCGCAGATTCCGTGGCAGGCGCGTGACTTTTTGATGTGGAAGTGTAGAGTTGGTGGCAGGCGCAGGACTTTGTGGGCCTTGGAGTGCAGATTTGGTGGCAGGCGCAAGACTTTGTGGACCTTGAAGTGCAGATTTCGTGGCAGGTGTAATACTTTGTGGATGTTGAACTGCAGGTAGACAGATAGAAAGATAGAAAGATACATGGATCGATAGATACATAGATAGATAGATAGATAAATAGACAGATAGATAGAGAGATAGAGGAGGCCGATTTGCTTGGTTAGAAAATTTTGCACCGGGGAGTTCACCTTAAAATATTGATTTCGTGGCAGGCACGGGTGTCGGGGATGAAGTGCAGATTTCGTGGCGCGGGGGTGTTGGGGGCGGGCGCAGCGCCCCCCCCCAGCAGCACACCAGATCCAAAGGTGAGCAGCTCGCGCTTGCTTGCTTGCTTGCTTGCTTGCTTGCTTCGTCTCTGCAAAGCGAACAAAAGGAAAAGCAAAAGCAAAAAAAGAAAGGAGAACAGCTGCGAACAAGAAAGAAAGAAAGAAAGAAAGACGAAGGACCAGAGGACCAAGGGACTAGCGGACCAGTGGGCCAGCGGACTGCAGGGGACCAGCGGACCAGGACCAGATGACCAGCGGACCAGAGGACCAGAGGAACAAGGGATCAGCGGACCAAAGGACCGGCCACCTACACGACTGGGAATTCCAAGGGATTTCATCGCACAACGAAAATTTTTTTATTGCTTCAGTAGATGTTTATTTTTGGGTTCGGTAAATATTTTTTTAGTGATTTGATAATTTTTTTTGGATACCTATACCGCTTAGAAACGCTTGGCACTTAATTGACGTCAGGTCGTCCGGACCTTAAGTTATTCTCGCGCCTGGGGTCTATTCAGACCTTCGCGGCTAGTGTTTTTGACGCGATGGGCGCAAGGAACCCATTCTATGCTGTCAAAACCATCTGAAAAAAACGTAACATACGCATACACAACAATGCAGTCGACTGGAGGCAGATTATTTCCAAAAATAAAGTAATACAACTAAGTCAAATGTTAAGTAATGAAGCAGGACTTGAATATTTTATGAACCATTTGGTACTTGAATACGCTGTCGAAAATATGGTTGGATACGAGGACTCCCCTGTTGCTAGGCTTCACTGTGTTGCCGTACTGCCAATTGATTGCAGGTCGACTTGACTTTGAACATTTTTCTCAGCTCTCCGACTTACTCTGACCTTCGCAGCTTTGTGTCTATGATGTCTAAGCTACCTGGTTGGGTACGAGGACTCCCCTCTTTCTAGGCTTCACAATGTTGCTTTGCTTGAAAGCTTTAAGCCCTCCATTGGGAGGGCCTTGTGTGTGTGTGTATCCCGCTATCACAAGCGGCAAAGTGATTGTACTTGACAACGCAAGCCAACTCAATGGAGTAGCAGGGGGCACCGGAGGTGCTAATGAGACCAGCGCTAACACAGACGCTCATCAGTTACCTGTGATACAGTTGGAGACGTCCAACTGCGCGCCTGCAGAATGATATCGTTGAGTTTTCTCAAGCTGTGGCCCTCCTTTTTTCCAGGCTGTTGCAGGTATATGAGGCTTGTCCTGTCTTTGTCGTTCCCGACGGTGTCGCTCGCATACGCAATTGTTCAAAGGCCGTGGACTCAGGAGGTTCTGGGCTTTGACACCTTTCCACCGTTCCACCACCAAATAACTTTCCCAGTCTGTGTGTGCCTCTTGACTGTGAACCTTCACTTCTTAGAACAGGGGTCTGAGAGAACGTATGAGGATATATAGGATATCATCAGGGACGCCTGAAAACGTACCTGCTTGGACGCTAAACAGAGTCTTCTTCTCGTCCCTGATTCTAACTAGAACAATTCTGCCGGCTTTTTGCATAAAGAGTGCACGTACATGTGTTGCATAGACAAGATTAGTTGGTTGTATTCGTGACTCTTTAGCGCATGAATCAAGCTGTTTGCGTACTGTGCACATTACGTGTTACCGGAATCTGGTGACCTTGCTTTGTAAAAGCAACAAATCTCAGTCTGAAATCAACCTTCCCCAATCTCATGCCGAGCTGGCCCATTCGGACCATGGGGACACATCGCAGTCAACACGCTCACTATCGCACCTTCCAAGTGTTGTTGTTTGTTTAATGAAAAAAAGAACAGTTCTGCAGCCTCAGCACTTGGAGATTGCCGGGTTCTGAGAGTGAGGCCATGCTGTTTCATGAAGTGCTCCTTCGCATGCCTCTCCGAAGACCTCACAGTGGATGCAAATGGCTCCGGTGTGATGGAGCAAAGAAAGCAATCAAGGTAAGTTTGGACCTTGAGACAATTTAAGAATGTTCAAACTTGCTTTGCTGGCAACACCGCAAGCTCAGAATGACACCGATGGCAGCTGAACTATTCTGCGCTTGCGAGACATCTGCCCATTGTAGCCACAGTGGGACCACTGTTCCCAAGGCCTCAGTCACATGAGTCTAAAACAGCCTGAAACATTTCACGACTGAAACCGTGTCACAATTTTTCAACACCAGTCTGAAGTGCTGTCTGAGTCTGAAACGGAAAAACGTTGTTTCACATGTACGAAAGCTCTTTTGGAACCAATGTCCTTTATGGGTTTGTGCGTTACCATACCTTTTGCCAATTGGCAAAAGCTGTGGAGCTGGCTACAGGAAAACCACTATAGAACAACATGTCCCGAAAGAGTCTGGAGCAAGAGTCTCGCAGCCGAGCGAGGCGTGGGAATCCTTCAATACTTTTTCGAGATGTTGCAGTATATCTAAATCAATAAGACTTCATTGTGAGACTAATTGAGACTAATTGGTAGAATCGTCGGTCATAGGTTATTGTGCCTCTCGCTACATCGCAACTCTGTGACAACTCCAAGAGCACGATCATAGAAACATATTGCAATTGGACAAGTTCACTTACCTTTTTGTTCAGGATGTAGAAGAAGGTTAAGGCACACACTATGTTTTTTTCGTCTGTGCAAGTTGAACAAATGAGACAGAGCCTCACTTGTGAGATCTCATGCCAAAATAGTTTGTGCTGAGTCAAATCAAACTGCTGCCAAGCGTGTGACCGGGGGGAGACAAGTAGACAGCCACCGGATGTCTGGAGACATCTGTGAAAATACGGAGGGAGACTTAACTAGCGAGTTCCACGTCGGGTGGGGACAAAAGGGAAGAAGACACAAAACTAGCAAGATATCATGACATCATGTCACAAAATCACATGGCACGACAACCATCTGGTGGGGAAACAAGAAAGAAAACAATCCAAGCAATCACGTCGCAAGCTACCTACGGGGGAGACAACTAGTCGGGAAACAAGCAAGGAGTCACGTTGCGACAAAGTCTCTCGCGATGCAAGAATGGAGATCCCCAACAGATCCCAACAGTTCTTCTTTAGCAAGCAAGGACACCTTTGTCAATTGCAACATTGCAGCTTCGGGCATTCCTCATTTCACGGCAGCATCTTACACTTTTGGGGCGCAAATAGAACAGGTTCGTTTGTCATGTTTTCCACCTCCAGTCATTGAATTTCACAGGAACTCAGGCTGAAAGGTTGGAGCTTGGAGCCTTTGCCAGCCCAACCAATCCGGTCCAAACAAGTATAGAGAACACGGCTGCAGGTCGTCGAATAAACCCAGGGGTGAGGATTGGCCAACGTGCAAGTTCTAAAAAAACAAAATGCGGTGAGCACAAGCAAACGCGGACCTTTTCAAGGGAACTCGAGTCTACATGCACAGGTCATGCGCACGATGGGTGACTGCTTTACATCCTGCCTTCGACTGCAGGATTTGAACAAGTCCTGTTCATCCTGTGGATGCACCTACTCAGCTCTCAGGTTCAGGCTCTTCCAACTCTTCTCTACCTGGTACTGCCCTTTCTTCTTCATCCGCTGGTGGCATCACATCATCTTCACCGCTCTCATCTTCTCGCTGACTCGCTGAGATCTGGTCTCTTCATCTTCATCTGATTCCCAAGGTGGCCCATGATGAGCCGCCACCCAACCATCTGGGTATTCACTTTCTCCCAATGGGATGTCCATTGACTCATCTCCTCTTCGAACATGGAAGCTAGATGTATTGTCTCCAGCATCTCAGGCGATCTATCACCATCTTCCTCCCTTCTGGACCGCGGACCATGATGGTCCTCTCGAGGTTCTTGAAGGTTCTCAGGCCTTCAGGTAAGTCTTCATCTCCATCTCCAGGATCCTCTTCTATCATATCCTTGAACTCTCTGATCTTCATGATCAGATACACCTGGATGCCCCTGTCGATCTCAATTCTCTCCGTTCTGTACCTTTAGTACTTTCCCCTTCAAGTCTGATGTACTCTTCTTCGCTGTCTGCCTCCAAGTGTTCAGCAAGGCTTCCATAGTCGGTGTTCACTTCGCTTTCACTTCCTCCATCTTCGTCTTCTTCACTTGGAGACGTGTCCTCTTCCATCCTCACCATTCTCACACACACTTCGGTCTCGTGGATGTACCTATCATCATCATCATCATCATCTGTTATAGGTACTTCTCCTCACTTCTCCATCTTGTTCTTCTGCCTCCTCTTCGATTTCTTCGCCCCGCCAACCACATCTCTAAGGCTTAGGCCGGAGTCTCCAGCCCAGTTGACCCACTGTCAAGGTACGGTCTCATCCTCTGTTTCATCATTCTCAGGTCTTCTTTGATGGCCTGATGGCCAATTGGACCAATTCTGCCAGTCTGTTGCTCCTGCGCTCCGCAAGCTCAGGTCAATCCTCTCTTGGTCATCATCTGACGTGTAGTTCTCTTCTTCGCCAACCACAGTGCGATGTGTGCCCCAAGAATTTTCATGTCTTCTCAACTCGACCCTTGACATGTTCTTCAACGCTTTCAGCAGCATCAGGACAACGACGCTCAGGATCACAATGGCAATCTTTAGTCCCATCACCACCTGCTCATACGTCTCTGCGCTAATAACCTTTCGTCCCAGTAGTCCATCTGGCTGAGGCTGTGGCTCATCTTCTGGGAAACACTGATCTTGTTCTTTCACCGCAACCAGGCGCAAGGCTGAGTCTGCTAGTAGTGCTGTCATTGTGAGCCGCAACAATCTCTTGGCCAACTGGTTCGACTGTGTTGACTTCTCTGGCGACCCTTCTTCTACATAGACCATCTTTCTCACTTCATTGAATCTTCTCCTCTGGTCTGCTTTCATCCTCTGTGCCTCAAACTCTTCTTTGCCTAGGTCGTTCGCCTCATTCGTGAAGCCGATCGAGAACATCAACATGTTCACTCTCTTTCCTGTCAGCGCCTTCGCGCCTAGGCCTGACGGGTTTGTGGCTGCGTCCAACTTCCTCAATTCTAGGTCTCTTCCTTGCCTCTGCTGCAACCATAGGAGCCGCCCACTCAAGTGTTTCAACTTTCCAACACCTTCCCTCTGCGCTATTGCAGGGCTTGAATTGTTGTCACCGTAAACAACCAACACCACCTTCTCTTGCGTGAGGTGCTCAATCGCCGCTTTCAGAAACAAACCTTCTGATGCGCCTGACACCAACGCAACATACTCTGACTCCGCGTTTGAAAGCGTGATGTTCTTCTGTGTCCTTGCATAGGCATGGGTCCAGTTTCCAGCCAAGACAATGCACCCTGCAGACGTTTAGCTCCTTGTTGCCTTGTTACCTGGCCAGTCTGAATCGCGAGTGACTTCCAGCAACCGCGCATCTTCTTGCTCCTCAAACATTGGCGCTGTTGTCAACCCTCTTGCTCTGTTCCTGAACGAGTTGTTCTTCACCTGGCTTCTGACGACAACATGGGCGTCCATTGTCATTGCAAGATACCCAACAAGTCGCTTCAAGCTCAACCATGCTTTCTCTGTAGGGTTCTGCAACGTTCTTTCACTTGGAACTGAATGTCTGGCCTGTCTCCTGCCATGTAGCGCAAAGTCCCCGCCGCTGACCGGTAGGTTGTCCTCCTCTCATCGGTCTCCTTCATCTCTGCTCCATCGACCTCCACTGTTCCTGGTGTCTTTGACCGTCTCAGAGGGCTCACCAACTTGACCAAGTTGTGGATGCACTTCTTGTTCACCATGATCTTTGTCGTCGGGGCCTCCACATTGATGGTCCTGTAACCTCTTCATCAGTTGGTCTGTGATCTTTGCAACTGCTTCGTTGGTCCCACCAATGATCGTGTCATCCACATGGACCAGCAAGATCAACTGTTCTCCCCTCCACAACGTTGGAGCTTCAGGACATGGCACAAGCCCTGCCTCAATGAGGCACTTCTTCAACTCCTGAGACCATTGGGCTGCACCTTCTCGCTGTCGTGGGAGAATTCTTCCTAGCAACCATTCTTGTGGAAGGTTCAACCTGTCCGCCAAGGCCTTGTCCAGCGCCACCTTCACCTTCTTTGGCTGACTGCACATCAAGTAGGCGTCTTTCACATCCATCGCGCTCATCTTCCAGCCTTTGACTTGGCAGATCGCTGGCGCCAACCTCAACAAATAATGCCCTCCTGCTGGTGCGAAAACATCTGTTCTTTTTTGGGACGCACCATGCAAAGTCTCGTGCCACTAGACACTAGACGAGCACGCCTCTTCCAATGTTCCTCGCGCCACCTCCAATCGATCACAAGCTTCGCTGTCAACAACGGCACTTCCTCCATGTTTTCCCCTTCTTCAGGCCTCATCAGCGCTTCCGTGCCAATCAACCTCTGAACCTCCTCAACTGTGGCTTCATCCTCAATATCAGCCAACTCTTCAGGACTCATTTCAGGCGGCTGATCTGGAAGCTCCATGCTCTCGACTCGCCTCCAACGACCATTCTCACCACCCTCACTGACGATCGAGCCCTGTCCCCTTCTCTTCCTTCTTCTTCATCACCAGGTTCTCGTCGAGGTTGTTTGTGGGGCATGGCCTTTGGCATCTTCTCTGGCGCTTCCTCCTCAACTTCTTCGCCGCTGCTTGCTCGCTTTGGACTTGGTTCAGACGCTCTTCTTGGACTAGTCACCGGTGCATCCTTCTCGCTCTCTGGCTTTGGTTCCTTCAAACGGTCGAGCAAATCTTGCAGCGTTGCGCCATCATTGATCGCAAGGCTCTCTTCCTCATACGGACTTGATGGGGTGTAGTAGTCACCAAGTGAATCTTCATACTCGGCTTTCCTCTTTTCATTTCCTCTTCTTTCAGACACCAGTGCCTCTGACCTCCTTCTCTTTCCTCATCTTCTGCAGCCTTGCCCTCAACTCCTGCAACTCTCTGCTTCGTTCTTTCTTCCCGGGCTTGTCTTTTTCTTCTGCCCAGATAGCTGGCGCGAGAGCTGGTGGGAGAGGTGCAGTTGGAAGCTTGCCAACTAACGGCGATGTCTTTGCTCCAATCTGCCCAAATCCCACATTCCATGGCCAGTACTTCACATAGGTCACAGCCTCTGCATCGAACGGCATGGGAAGCCTTCGAATTATTCTTGTCCACTTCAACCCTGAAGCTGTGGCCACCATGTGAAAGTCAGCTCTGTCTGTCTTTCCCAGCCATATTCCTGCCTCAAACTTGTCACTGCCATTCGCTCTCTTCGCTCTGGCAAGAACTCTTTCACCAAAGATGCAACCTTGCCGCAATACTTTCGACCTGTCCTGGCTTCATATATGCCGTTGGCCCTCCGCCTTGTCGACGATAATGAGTCAACGGCCAACCTGCATCTCTCATTGCCCGCCATGTACTATCGTTCTTGCAAGGCCTCTCACCGTTTGGATCTCTCTCTCCCTCTCTCTCGACTTCCATTGCTCTTGGATTCTGCCGGGCCACCAATTCCAAGTTGGTGTGGAATCCCAACCTCTGCCTAGCCTGTTGCACCACTTCCAGCAACATGCACATAGATGGTTCACGATCTCCTTTCAAAATCACTCTTGAATAGCCAAGGCTCCCGATGAAGCGCATCACCTGCTCTGCCAGGAAACGAAGATGTGCTTTTCCTTGGCCTGGAGTCTTCTGGAACTCCTTTCTTGAAAGCTCGATTGCAAGGTTCTCAGCAAAACGCTGATAATGACGGACAAGTTTCCTCCATGCAACTTCCTTGTTGTGACCTCGTCCCAAACCACATTTCTTCAAAGCTTTCCGCAATTCCCTTACGGATGATGTGGCTCTGAACGATTCACCCTCAATCTCCTCGTCGAGGGGCGCCGCGCCTTTTCTCTTTCAAACGGGTCTCCTTCTTGGTGTTCATGCTGCTCTCCAACCTCTTCCTCATAGTCTTCCTTCTCATAGACCCCATCTTCAAAGCTTTTCCCAAACCATCCTTCTGTGACCTCAACTTGACCTTCTTCCTTCTTTTCATCAATGTTGAACTTCTTGTGAATGTCTGGTCTGGCTCCACGCTTCTCACGGCAAGCAGAGTTTAACCATCTGGGTGACTGTGCTTGTGGCATCACTGACCTGTCGCAGTGTCTTCATTGGGCATTCACGACTCCAATGACCCCTGCCACCACACAGTTTGCACGTGTCAGGAGAAATGCCTTTCCCCTTCCCTTTTCCACCCTTTCCTTTTCCATCTTTTCCTTTCTGCTGCTTGCCCTTGCCTTTGTTGTCGAAGCCGCCATAGGACCCTTGACCTTTGCCTTTCTGTTTTCCTTTCCCTTTCTGGTCTTTGCCCTTTGCTTTGGACTTTCCTTTGTCTTTTCCTTTTCCAACCCTGTCGATCTCCGTGGGAACTGTCTCATCATCTTTGTTGTCTTTCGCGATCGCCAGCTCTCTGTAGATGGCTTGCGAGCCCCAGGACGTTGTAGTCCTCTCACAGCTCAACACCTTCTCCCTTGCTTCCTTATAGGTTGTTGCATCTGTCATGTGCAGTTGAAGGTGTTGTCGAAGGGCTGCTGGCATCACCTTCATGAGAACTGACAACTTTGTGTTCTCACTCAGCTCCTCCTTTGCCACCGTGGCATATTCATCTGCCAGCCTCTCCAAACCAAGCAACTGCTCTTGCAATGTCATCTTGTCCTTGCTGAAGTTCGGGTGGTTCAGATAGGCCTGCCGCAAAGCACTGCTTCTTGCTCTGGTCTTTGGAGTCAGCTGGGTGGATAGCTGCCTCCAACCCTCAAAGCCGTTCTTCTCTTCTGCAGCTCTGAGAACCTCCGTGGCCTGTTCTTGAGAACGCTCACCAAAATGGCGTAGAGCTTTTCAGACCTTTTCTTTCCCTTCTCATAGGCCTGCTCGGCAAAACAAAGCCATGACTTGAAGTGTAGCTTCCAGTCTTGCTACTGGCTGAGCTCTTCTTCCATGTTTGCCGGGCTGAATGGCTCTGGTGCCTTCACCACTTTTGAGGCTGTTGCAAAGCCTTCGCCTTCCTTTCTTTCAGTCCTTTCTTTCATGTCCTTCAAGGCTTTGATAGCTTCTTGCGCCATCTGTCCCGACTGCCTTGATGCTGTCACCAGGGCCTCTAGAGTTTGGGCGTCCATGGCTTCCTGAGCCTTTCTTCTTGTCTTCGTCTATCTTCGAGCTCCTTTCTTCTGGCCTCTCTTCGGGCCTCCCTGGATCTTTGGTTCACTGCCGGGGGTATATTTTCTGAGCCCCTCGGTGGCTCCGCTACCATGCAAAATGCCGCGAGCACAAGCGAACGCGGACCTTTTCAAGGGAACTCGAGCCTACATGAACAGGTCATGTGCACGATGGGTGACTGCATTACAAAAAAATGTCAATTTAAAAGCTCACTGCTGCACTCCCATCGTTTCGGCTGTGCTAATCCAAGCCCCGTGCGACCATTTACAGTCCTCCTTTCCAGACTGTCTGCACTCGGGATTGGACTCAGCCGCACTGAATAGAACACAAGCACAGCATAGCATAGATGCTCTATTCGCACAAGAGCGTTCAAAGGCCCGGGCTCCAAGGCAAATGTCGATTTCAAAGAGCGGTCCAATCTAAGATGACTCCATGACTCCATGCTCTGCTGTGGTTCTCAGAGATGCAAAAAGCAAAAAGCAAAGGCAAATGCACAGGAGTCACCACCGTGTTTTGCTGGCTGCTCCACCTCAGCTCATTTGCTCATAAGTTTGATGTTTCTGGATTCAAGGAGTGACTTGTGGGTATGTTTCACAGGCGTCACGAACACGAACACCTTTTCATTGGACAGAAACTAAACCACTGGCGGCCCCTTGTGCAAAACAATTACAGTTTACAGTGTTGATTGTAACATAGTAGCTTGTGCTATGGCGCGGTGTACTGGAGTAATTTGCGCTGTAGTGAAATGTGTGGTGAAGTGTAACGTTCTGAGATGTAGCGGTGATCTGTGACGTGGTTATGCAAGTGATGTTAAGTGTGAGCTGGTGGGAGAGAATGCATTTGCGCCAGCCGATTCTCCAATCAACAGAACCAATGTCGCTTCGCCAAACCACTTGCTACAGACACAAAGCACCCCTCCATGGGAGGCAATAGTTTCATGATTGTCGGGGTTTCGCGACACGCCACAAAACCACCTGTGACATCGTTGTCAAAACACCCTTTTCTCCAGTAAAACAGCAAATCGTAACTTCCAGACAAACAACCCTTGTAACAGCACGTCCAAAATCTACTTTTCTCATCGTTTCTCCACAGTTTACAAGTCTACATCATCTACGTTACAAAACACATCTAGCAGGAACCTATAAATCCTGGTGTTCTAAACTCTGGTTTTCAGCGCGTTTTTTCTAGAAATCTAGATTTGCCGGATCTTTCTCTGAATGCTTTGCCGAACTCTTTCTCAGGTTTCTCTACTTCTCCCGGCCGTACTGCTCTCTAGAAATCTCTATTCTGAGGTATTTCTCCTCTGCTGTGCTTTTCTCTGGGTCTCTCTGCTGCTCAGTTCTATGTGTCTGTTTCCATGGAAATTTGAAACTTGACACCAGACACACACGATCAGAGGCATAAGTGTTGACATTCATTCTGCTGAAACTTACGTTTTCCCGTTTTCCCTCAGTGCTGCTCACGACCTGAGTGAAACAAAGAAGAAGCGGCTTCGGGGAAAGCAGCTGCAAAGCGTGAAGGGAGGTCTACCAAGTTTACACTGGTAGCGGAGCTTTTCAGCACCAATGGAGAAGGCCACGGTCCGACCTAATCGTCGTTCCGAAGCAGCCAGGGAGGAGGCACCTTGGAGACATCCGAAAATGGAGGCGAGGGCAGTTGTCTTGAACTCTCAGGGCAGCCCATTTCAAAAGCTACAGCTACACGCAACAGAATTGTGCACGGCAAACAGATCATCACCTTGCTTGGCAGACAGTGGGGAAAGAGTGGTCTTGAGTGCCGGCATTATGACTCAGAGCGGGCATTGATTGCTGTTGTCAGCAACAGTCTGATGAAACCAGCAAGAGCGGACATCTTGTAGACCAAGCCTGTGAGGAAAGTCAAATTGGAAGACCAGCACTCCTTCATCCTGCTGAGGAGTTCATCTCTGATCCCTCGAGGGGAAGACAGTGACGTTTGTGAGGATGCTTGGAGGTCAGTTCTTCGCCGATGTCACGGGCAAAATAAGCGCCCATCCAAGAACAAGGTCGATGACAGCCAGACACTGTTCACAGAGGATGCTCCTCGAACGTGGATCAGGCTTTCGCCGCCCAGGATGACAACTGAAGAAGCGTTCGTTGACCAGATGAGCGATGAAGGAGATCCTGCTGCGGTGTTGGTGGCTGATATTGAACAGCACGGGAGGTTCTCCAACAGGACCCTGACCTGGCCACAGACTGATGCGCCGAGGCTTTTGGCAGGTTCATCATGGGACGAATAAGGGTAAGGTCACCAGAGAACGAGATCGAATCAAGTGGCTTCAGCAACAAGAGACATAAAACTTTTGGGAGTGTGAATGTGCCAACCAATCCATGAGGGTCTCAGGCTTAATCAGGAAGCCGACATCCACCCCACGGAGGCTCAGGGAAGCTGGGGTGGGTGGGAGCGGCATCTGTGTCGTTGAGCCATTGTGCATTCGGTGACCGGGGACTCACGACCTGGAGGTGAAAAAGAGAAGAAGCGGCTTCGGGGAAAGCAGCACAAAGAGTGAAGGGAGGTCCACCAAGTTTACATGTGCAGGTGTAAAACGTGTAGATTAACTGTGTAGATGCAGCGTATGATATTGTGTGTATATATATATATAGATGTGAGTTGTGCATATTGCTTTGCTTCTTTTGGAAGAGTCCTTTCCTCTTGGGGAAAAATGCAAAATGCATCAAAATGCTAAGTGCGTCTGGAACACTGAGCGTTGTCGTGTCTGCCAGCCTGTCACGCAGCCTTACTTTCCACAAACTCACAACTTTCAATTGCTTATATAACTGGCCTCTTAGCAATGAGCAACGTGTACGTCTGTGATAGTCAATGACTCGTCTATGACATTCTATGACCAAGGCCAAAAAATTGGGCACTGGCGGGTGCTGCACGTCGACCAGCTTGACCATGGTGCCAGTATGCAATTCTGCGGTATCTGGCGAGGGTTGCAACATGTGCTTCGGCGTTGCAAAAATGTTCTGAGCCTCGCTGCGACGAACACATACGTGCCTTCGGGCAGCCCATGGTTTGCACCAACTCTCCAGTACAGGGCCTTAGCTTCTTGTGCAAGCTTCAGTCAAGCACCAGGATTCCTGTCAAGCAATAAGAACCAAACATTCCGCCATTCATTGGCATCTTGACCACGTCGCGCTTTCTGTCCATTTGCAACCTCCCAAGGCAACGAAACCATAGTGCACCAAGGGTTTCACATGCGCCAAAGGGGGTCAAGTCATTGCCTCAATGTGCCGCCCAAAGTGCGATCGCACCTCTGCTGCTGGCAAAGGAGGAAAGTCACACTCAAACCGTTTTAGGGCTTATGCTAAGTTGTCATCTGCACCTGTGTTGCAGGTGACACCAATTTCAAAAGCAGGTTTGCAAGTTGCAGTCTATGGACATGAAAATGTGTTCTTCGGTTCCGGAGACAGGCTTTGTGGCACAGGGCTCAAGAATTAGCCAGAACAACAGGAAGACTACCTGCGAACGCCTTTAGCACTAGCGATGCCACTTGACTCAACACTTGTACTGGAAATCCTGTGCGCTCTTCTTTTTGTGGTTCTGGTTATGAAAGCATAGAAAACACCAAGGTCAAGAACAAGCCAGGCCGAGCATACAAAGCTGTTGATGGCACGTGCTGCTATCGTTCAAAACATCGCTCGTGCTCCTGGTTTTAAACATTTGACTTTTCATGTTCGACTCAAGACTCAACCGCCTCAAATATCACGATGCTCCGAATGACAAAAATCCCATTGAGAAAAGCGCAGCGCAGAATGGGCAGAAAAACAAAGCGCGAAAACACCACGCGAGCGATTCAACCAGGTGCCATGTCAACATAACTATATATATATATATAATCGTTTACACCAATGCACTGGGCAATGTGCATGAACAGAGTTGGCGGAATGTCAGCACAAAGCCCCCACAAGTGGTCTGGATACCAGCAGCCCACACAAGCAAAGGACCACGTGACTCCACTCAGGCTACAAAATCATTGCAAAATCATAGAAACTCAATGAAACTAGAAGTAGACTTTGCAGAAGAAGGAAGGCTGGAGCTGGAGGACAGGAAGCAGACTGTTGCAAAACCTTTGTGAGATGCGAAAACATTGTCATTGCTTCGCGACTGCGGATTGCTGATCTGCCTTACAACAGCCTCTGGCCTATCACGCTCATGGCGTAGAGCTTTTACTTATGTCCGACTCAAGAATATGATGATGCGAACGGGCAATGGGTGGCATCAATAAATGATGTTTTCAGCAGGGGGATATGGCGGATACGGACTGTTGAGCATAAACCCTGGAAACACTGAAGCGAGAGATTAAAGCATCTCAAACTGTCTGCTGCAAGCTTCAGGCCCCTCCCAGTCTGACCAATCACTGACTTCGCAGTCCTGCCCACATATCGGCTGTCGGTTTGGTAGCCAAATGCGATTGAAGTCATTGAGTTGAACACGACGCCACAACGCACATGCGCCTGCGTTTTTTGGCAAGTAGCTGGACAAACCTTCGTGTCCAGTATTGGACCTCCAGGCTGCTCTTGTCATCTATGCTTTGACAATCATATGTCTGTCTGGCATTACAGCTGCTGTCTCAAACTGGACCCAACAACCGAATACCTGCCTTCACAGCCGGTGCCGCAATCATTGTTGTGTTTGTTGATGATACGATGGCGCTCGCAAAGCCCTGGGCGAATGATGACAGTACTTTTGTATGTAAAAATTAAGGTGCAAAAAGACCAAGCTTGCGCACCCAAGCAGGTCGGATCTTGCCAATCGCTCCAATCTGAGAAGGTGCAATCCTCGGGAATGCACCTGGGTTACTCAGTAACTCAAAGGCACACGATTGGTTTAAGACTTTTCAAAGGCACCGGGGCAGATTGAAAAATCGAGGACAGAACGGCTCACACTCTTCAATGTCAGGACACTCTGTGACATTCAGCTGCGTTCCAGCCTGGGCTCCCACAAACTCCCAACGTCCTGTTTTACACAGAAGTACTGTAAGGACTGGGCACATGCTGATTGGTCTACTGCAAGGAAAAGAGATCCGGATGCGTAAGGCATGAGACCCAGTGCCTCACGCTCACCATTCATCAGGACACAACAGCCAAAGAGTCAAAAGCTACAAAAGCCAAGGGTCAGCAAGAATCAAAATGGTCGGAGTCAGGCGTCAGTTGCGGTCCGCTACTGAGGCTTCCTGCTCTGTTTCTGGTGGAGCTCGCAACCCCACATTTGTTGCAAGATTCTGACCTTGGTCTCGTGCATGCACCGGCCCTTCGTCTTTCTACCCTCTGCAGTGTTACCATACTGTAATTATTTTAGTCTTTCAGTCTTTCAGTGCCAAAGAATGAAGTTGTACATAGAATTGTACAATACAAATATGGAAGGTGCGATACATCTTCTATTTCGAGCAATTTCGAGCAAGCCCGACCCGACCAAGCTGCTTCCCAAGGCCATCTTTAGGTCGTGCATCCCTATAACATGCTGTCATTATGTTGGCTGTTGCTCTTGCCACTGGGCTTGTCAGAGTCAGCGCTGTTGCCATTGTTGTTTCTTATTGATTCTGTCAATGAGGCCTGTTATGACTCTTGTCATTTTGGTTTATCATCGGCACTACAGAAGATGGACAGAGTGTTCAAATCTTTATTCATGAATTCTGTGGCTCAGGTTCCATTCCTTCCGCCACTACGCCCAAACATTGCGCAAGGCTTGGCAACGTTGGTCCAAGGGGCCGAGGTTGAATATACAATATTGATCAATATTGCGATCTATCGTGTGTGTGTGTTGTGGTGGCTCTTATTGTTGTCGTTGTAGTTGTCGTCGTTGTTTTCAGTGTGGATTGACTACGGACTCTGCCCCCCTGCATTGATCCTTGACAAGTCTGAATGTGTGCAAGGATTTGCAAGGTCACCTCCAGAAAGCCACGTTGACCCAGAGCGACATTCAGGTGGTCGGGAGAAGGTTTGTACCGCTCTGCCTGACACTGAACGGAATCGGAGGATTCAGAACTTCACATTATTAGGGCTGTGGAAAGTTCATTCAGCGGTAACTCTTGGAAACTGGGGGTTCCCTCCCAAGTGTCACTTCCTGTGCTTCGTTCACCCGACTCTCATGCCACTGATCCTGCTTTGTATCAGGTGGTGAGCCTGTGGTGACTGGACACTATCGAGCAGTTTGTCGAACCTTGGACGGATGGGTGTCGATGGATAACAACAAGGAAGCTGACCTTGAGGACCCTGTTCACCTTCAGGAGGGACAGGACGTGGTGTTGCTATGACTTGTGAGGGCGGATGTTTTTTTCATCTTACGTCCCTCTCTGTTATTTCCTGATGAGCTGTTGGTCCAAGCACTCGGGTTTGCTAAGGAAAGTGACTGCGCACCACAGCAAACCCTGGACAGATCTCTTTGTCGGCCTCTTCGTACGACATGTGTGTTATGCGGCGTGTGGACTATTTGTACCCAGTGGACCCCTGCTGAAGCACCATGTTCAACAACGACATCCTGACTACTTACTTCGTGAGGCCATGCGCCGTTTTGTGCCTGCCACTTTGCATGAATCAGTCCCGTGTACTTCGTGTCATGGAGAGCTTGCACCGGCACCCCCTGGCAACCCACCAACCATGTTGTCAGGGTGCCCTCAATTTGGGATTGAGTTTGTTGATGTTCTTTGTACTTTGTACCATGGAACTATCTTTTCCTTCACCTCACCGCCGACTGAGCGTGCGCTGTGGGGGATGCAGCATCCCACCGATCATGCGGCAGCCCGGGTGGGCAAACCTCCGCCATCTGGCGGCATGCGCGGAAGGGCGGCAGCAGCCACGGGGAATGAGGCAGCGGCTGGGCTAGAGCAGTTCTTAGATCAGCTAATGGGTCACGGCCATTTTTGATGGCCTGGGATGAAGTCCCATGTTTTTGATAGAAGTCACCGGGCTCAGCCACCATGGCCACGGCGACGTCCGTGAGAAGCCTCGCAAGCAACGTGCACTCGCTGCTCCACGAGAGAGAGCGAGAGGGAGAGCGAGAGCG